AAACACCGCTGAGACCTCCAGACTTCCATGAATTCGTGTGGAAACTACCGAACGGCCCGCCGTTCGGTAGAAAGGATCACACGAACAAGGGGATTCATACGAATCCTCCCCAAGCTCTATAACCCAGGCAATTCGTGTGTTTTGTTCACTTTTCTGTGACCGACCGCAGGGCCAAAATACATGGAACTATTTTCGGATACTTTTGCCATGCGGTCGGTCAAAACTTGTAAGTCCCATAACTCCCGAACCCTTTATCCGAATGGGCTGATTTTCACATATGTTGGTCCTCCAGACCAGGGCTATCTGGAGATACTGGATTTGTGGATGTACCCCAAGTATTTGGGATACATCCAAAACTCGGGGAAAACTATGTACATGTTAATTATGTTAACTGGTTATCTGAGGGGAGGGAATCTGTGGGTTGTAACCATGATGCTATTGGTATACTGTAAATCCCTCCCTTGCATGGGAGAATCCTTTATAAGCCTGTTGTGTGAATAAATCAGGAGATTCTGCTTAACCCTCAAAACGAAGTGTCGTCTCGTAATTGGTGGAATTGGATTGTATGCTGACTGCCAGGAGTGTAAGCCTTTCGTATGGTTTTCCTGTTCGGATATTTCCAGTGTTCAAGTGTTTCCAGTTCGGGAGATCGGTGCTTACAGTAGCTGTCGGTGTAGCTGAGAAAGGGGAATATTGCCTAAACGGTTTTTAACACCTTTTGGGCAAAACGGTCCGTTACATTGCGCATATATTTTTACAAATGATTATTATTTAGTGCATTGGCCGACAACACATAATACAAAGCAAAGTCGTTTTTAACACGTTATTCTGTGCTTCTGTTTTTTATGCACGTTTGAATGCAGTTTACCACAGGAGTAGAATTATATATACTATTTAGTATGGTAAAAACACAAACTTTTTTTAAATTAGACAGAATGTTCGTTATTGCAACTTTTTTTCAGGCACCTCTCATTTGTACAATTTTTTTTTTCAGTTGCTCCTTGTTAGTATATGTCCTGGATGTAGGTGGACACTATTAGAAAAACAGGTTAATAGATATTATATGATTAAATTCTTAATATGGAAAGAGAGCAAACACCGAGCTTGTCATGTACTAGTTACATGTAATTTGTAGTCAACAATTTCTTCTCATGCGTGTAATGTATTACTGTTTATTGTGAAGTTTCCCTCCCACAACAACGTAAGCTCAACAACTTAAGCTTTCTTACATTCAAGTGTTAAACTGTTTGGCTGTTTGTTATGGTTTAATCCTGAAGTTGAGGCTCCGGTTGTTGTCATTTTTGCCTACCAGCTCACATTACTCTCTGCACTGCAGTATGAGTAAGGGTTAGCCATGATAGGCCAGTGATAGGCCAGTGATAGGATGATAGTTTCACAACTTATATTCTTGAGGAAGAGTGATCTGACACAAAAATAAAAATGTATTATTGATCAAAAGAGTTGAGGGTGCAGATATGAACCAATGACATGTTTAGGTTATTTATGAAACATGAATGGAAGGACCCAGAAGTTAGAGATTTTCCATAGTTTGGTGGGCAACTGTTGAAAGCCGTCTAGATAAGGTTCAGTTGTTCAAATTAATCCTAAAGGATTCTTGAATATACTGTAAAGATTGGTAAAGTAGGGAAGTTTAACTAAGTAACGTGAAAAGGAGATAAAGATGACAGTACACTAATTGCAAAAATTAGTGGTGGGGCAATGTTACATGGAGGAGACCAGCAATGAATAGAAGGAAGATACAATGATGGTAAACAAGTGCACAAAAAAGGCCTTTAGTGCGTTTTGTATTAGAAAGTAGATAACACAGGATATATATATATATATATATATATATATATATATTTTTTTTTTTATATAGTGTGCTGTAAAGAAAACAGGAATGAATAGCAAAGTACAATGAAGTCCAGGTCTGACTGCCTTCATTTTCTTTAAGCTGTCCCTGCACTCAGTCTTGTCTAGTGTTTGGGTACAAGCTGGAAAGAGCTGTTCATCACTGTATCCTGTATCTGGCTGATAGCTGGTCCATCCCACTGAAGAAGTTCAAATGTCTAGGACATAACCCCTGGAGAAATTCGGATCCAAAGGAGGGTGAGGGTCGCCTTAACAGACCCTAAGACGCATATACCTGAGCTAGTGTTTTAGCTCAGAAAAGTGTGAGTCAGAAATTTATATTTCTTCATTTACTATATATTTATATACAGGTTACACTATGTTTTGTATATTTGTGTTTTGTATTTAAGGTTTATTTGGAAGTATTGGGACAACATATAAGTATATACGATCCCTTAAAGGTATATCATAAATATTTCTTTTATACACCTTCATATCTACTATAGGCAATTAGAGTGCTACACCTGATACTTCTTCTCTCCACATGTTAAGGGTTGAAGGTTAAAAAAATGTTCAAATATTTTTGCGGAAAAAAAAAATTCAGGTGTGTTTCTTTCTTTTTACATCCTGTAAAATTTTATTACTAGTTACATTCTGCCAACTGGAGGGAGGAGGGAAGGATTGGATTTAAATTTACTACACGTGTGCTTCCAGTTCAGATACTCTGGCCTTTGAAATTTCTGTTTGAATTCTCACCTGAGTAAATAACTCTTCCTGAGAATGTGAAAATTCACACTGTTGTTTTAAGATTGATCCAGGAACCAAGTCCCTCCCTCTTAGATCCCTGTCATTCATTGTTAAAAGTTTTGCCACTTGCACTTTGCAGTAAGCATAGAGAAAGCATAGAAAGAGGAGCAGAAACAAAAACAAATTTAATGCAGTATGCCCTGTTCGTGCCGATCCTGAACTTGACTGGGATAAATTGTTATGTCAATGTTAAAGGTACACTGTAATCAGCAAAGCAACCCCTTCCCGACCTCGGACATACCTAGTACGTTTGCCGCTGTTCCCCCTGAAAATAAAAATGTTAATAAAAAAATAATAATAATAACTATATATATATATGTGTATATATATATATATATATATATAT